TTTACCCAACATATTTGAAGATAAAATATATATACATTTTAAATCATTTTAAACATGTATAAAACATTCAGTCAACATTCATCTCAAATAAACAAACAACATATATACACATAGCACGTATTTTATATAAAATACTTCATATCTATGTGTAAGATGAAAGTGACTATACACTCACTTGATTTAACGATAATCGGGCAGCACTTCGTTTCCTAAAACAATCGTTTTCGATAAAATCGGGATGTTTTATTGAAAACCGGGCCCTGCAAGGGTGGAGCTTCAAACCGAAAAGATAAATTTCTCGGGCTTCTCGGGCACTTCGGGGCGTGTTTCGGGTGTTTAAAATAATATCGGGGCTTCGGGGGAAGTGAAAGTAATAAAAATATTAAAAAATGGGTGAAAAATGGCAATTTCTCCAAATTACCCGAGAAGGCTCGCAGGCCTCCCTTTTATAGGCCGAGGATGCGAGGGTCGGCCGAGAAGGAGGTGGCAGCGAAGGCACGTGGCAGCGGGAGGCGAAGGCATGTGGCGCGCATGCCTTCGCCTGTGCGAGGTTCGGACGTGACACGGGGCGAGGCCGGGGCAAGGCGCGTCGGACGCCGGTTGGCTGCGACTTCGGTCGAATCCGGAAGCGGCACGCGTCGACTGGTCGGACACGAGGCTGATCGCGAGAGCGGTGACGTGGCCGGCACTATTCATGCAAAAATTCTCGAAAATTGTGCCCCAATCTTCTAAAATCCATAACTTCCGCATACGGGCTCCGTTTTTTACGTTCTTTATATGCACGCGTAGGTAAAACTTACGCTCTACAACTTTCATTTAGACTTCGTCGGCTAATTTTGCCTTTAATTTTTATATTATTATTTTTAACAGACCGGGACAGGAAATCTGTTAAAAATTCATAACTTCTTCATCCGACGTCCGTTTTCATATGTCTTTTTACCGTTGTACTACTATTGACGAGACCTTCGATTCTCGTTTAGGTTGTGTCGGCTAAAAATCACTCGATCTAAAATTCGAGTTTTTAGTTGTCTACTGCTAGGCTGAAACTTAGAAAAATCATAACTTCCTCATACGAAGTCGGATTTGGACGTTCTTTTTATACATACTCTCGGTTTAACGAACACTACGACTTTCATTTAGATCACTAAGGCGAAAAAGTAGTTTATCAAAAACTCACTTTTTACGTCATTCGGCACCGTGTCAGTTTTGTCGCGAAACTTCAACTGGTCATAACTTCTTCGTTATAACTCGGATTTCGGTATTCTTTATATATCCGGAATCCTTGTCACGACCACTAAAACTTTCTTAATAGATATCGATTTTATCTAATATTTATTTTTGACGCTCATTTTTATTCTTAATTAATTAAATCCTAATAATTAAGCATAAAACACATAATTCACATAATTCCTCTTCATTTCTTCAAAATGAGTTACAAATGTTAACCTAGACGATTATGTCAATATTAATGCCTAGCCTAGAAACACGGGCGTTACAAAATTTATTAAACGTTGTCATTTACACAACTTTGGTTCATATCAAGAGTGTTTTTGCTTTTGTATTGTTTTTTTTATCTTTCTTTTCCTTTCAAAAACCATCAATCTCAAATATTTGTAATTTTCACATCTTCACCATTAGCATAAACATGTAGGGGATAATTTTGTTTAAGTATGTAACTATGCAAATGTAAAATTATAGTTACTTTTTGATCTACTTTATCACAAAAACAACCAAATGACTTTTACATATAAACTGAATAGGATGAAAGCACCATAATAGTTACATATATTTGAGCTTACAAAAAAATTAAAAATTAGCATCCTGTTGCAAAATACTTAACTTGTGCCAAAGGTGAAATCAAGATAATGATATTTTGGCACACAACACATTTAAAATCAAGTTAGAGACCGAAAGGCAGCACATCACATCTTTTAGCTATTTATTTCAACCAAAGATAGTCAAGTGCTACTTCTGTATCTAAAAACACAAGTTGCAGAAATGTCGAAAATAATTGTAAAACATAGGTGGGATGTAATCTTTATTTATGGAAACAAATGAAACAAAAGGGAAAAATCATATTATTACCTAAGAATCAAGATTTGGGGGTTGAGATACTCTTTCTATTTCTTTGATGATAAGTTCCTTTTTCTTCTTCAAATTTATCATCATCACCACCTAAAAACACACCCACAAAAAACTAAGAAAATACAAAACGATTTGAATTTGTAATGATGTATGTCCGGATAAAGAGTTGTTCTAGACTGAATAAACCGTCTAAATAAACCGTCTAAAAGAGAATAAATGACCATTTTACCCTTATATTCTAAAAAAACAAATCTTACAATATTCATCAATTTTAACGTGAGATGAGTTGAGTTGAGTGGAAAGAAGAAAAAGACAAGGGTATATATGTTTATCTCCTAAGTTACCTTCTGCTGATATGTTTTTATAGATGTGGAGAAGACATGAGTAATATTAGTTTGGGCAATTGATCTAATTGACCTAAATAATGAGTCATTGATTCGAGTGATTAATTTGAGAAGTTGATCCAATTGATATGAGTAATTCAAATGAGTGAATTTGATTGATTGGTTTGAGAAATTGACACGAGTGATTAACTTGAGAAATTAATATGAGTGAACTGAGTGATTGATTAAGAGATTAATATTGATTTGTGTGATTGATCTGAGATAGTGATTTAAGTAATTGATGTTGATTAGAGCGATCGATCGATCAAAGCTATTGGAAACTAATCTGAGTGATTGATTAGAGTGAGTGATCTGGTTGATTGAGTGATTTGAGTGTTTACATTGACTCATTGAGTGGGTGATATTGATCTGAGAAACTAATCTAATTGATCTAAATGATTGATTTGAGTCCTTGATCTAGGAGATTGATGTGAGAAGTCGATCCAATTAGAGTGATCCGAGTGATTAAATTGAGCGATTAATATTGATCAGAGTGATTAACATGAGTGATTGATTTGAGAAATGTAATTGAGTGATTGATATTGATCGGAGTGATTAACAGGAATTTACAAACAATATGGAGTTGCTGAATGGTTATACCTATTATAATGAAAACGACAAGAGGTTTTGGAGTTTGACGAGTCAGTTCAAGTTTTAACAACTTCAACGATACATTTTATGAATTTGTGGTATATATGTCTTCATTAGATAACGGTGTTCCTCCTACTAGATGGGAAATTGGATTCACATCAAAGTTAACATTTTGGAGTGATGGGTGATTCTTAACCATTTACCAATGAAAAATTGTGTTCTTTGCCCAATTTGTAGTTGTGTTATCAAGACTCTGGATCATTTATTTGCATATTTCAGGTGGTGGAACATTCAAGTCTCATCTTTCTTTTTTGTTAAAAATTGGATATGGCATTGCCTAAAAGTAAAGCTTTTTATATTTCTGTCCCTACAACGATTCGGTCAATTTGGTCGTTTCACAATGCTTACAATTTAAGATCCTAAAGCAGAAGAAGGAAGTTCTTTTTAATTCAATCGCTTTCAAATCTTATAATTGGATTTCGAGTAGGTATCGTAACAACAAATTAGATTGGAGTGGATGGTTTAAAGATCGTTATATCAAGTAAAAATTCCTTGTTATTTTAGCACGTTGATAGTGTGTTTATAAAATTTTATCGTTAAAAAAAACTACTGTGTCGGATCGTTCACCTACGTTCATAAATTGGTCACAATATCTTTGGCCATAATATATGTTGTGAGTAGCCGGTATAACTTGGTAATTGAACTTATTTCATCTTATCAATCCTTATCTCCAATCTCTAAACATCATTTGTGAATTGTGATCACTTTCAACTTACAAAGACATATTCTACTTATAAGCAATATTAACCACTTACAAAATCTTAGAGAAAACACTGTGTCCAAAAAAATAGATGACACGAAATTTGATAATTTTGTAGATTTCGTAAGACCGACATAATACATATGATCAGTTTTTACACTATGACATTATTACAAAATGTGATCATCAAATTTAATTTACGTTTTTGGACCAGCATTAATATTTTATAATGTCAACGTCAATATGGATAAACATTTTTATAAGTATTGTTTCTGGATTCAACTGATATTTTAAGTCCATACATGTTGATTTTCATCATATGATTACACTCGAATTGGGTGAGACTTGTTTTACAAAAATTTGGTATGATCATAACATAAAAGTATAGCATCTAATGAATAAACGTGAAGTAAAGTAGTAAGCCTCTTATTTTATGAGACTATATAATCCAATAATTTACATGACATACAGTTTTTGTTTTTATTAAAATAATAAAGAGTCTAATTATTGATAGTTGACTTGGTTATTATAAAAGTCGTTCTTAAAAAAAAAAATTGTATAATCTTTCAAACTTTTTGTAAAAAATTAAAATTATTATTATTTTAATTGGTAAACGTCTAAGAAACTAAAAACGGAAAAACCAAACCAAAAATCAGATTCACATAAAATCCCTAAACAAAAGTTGATAATCCTTAAAATAAAACCTAGAATAAAATTTACAAATTCCCTCCTCCTTTAAATAATATAGAGTTATAAAACTAAAGAATCCTCCTGAATCCTCATAACAAAATTGTGAAATTACACGAATTCAAATCTATCTGCGTTTAGACTTGTTATTCTTCCCATGGAACTTGTGACCCACATCCTCCTCCCTCCTCCTCTTATGCCCTCCCGCTTCCTTAATGCTCTATAAAACCAAATTAACAAAAACCATAAAAACAAAATTCAAATTTCAAATTTCAATTAAAAAAAAAAATTTAAAATACCATGAGCGATAGGCGTTTAGCCTCAGTGACACGTTCCAAGTATAACAAAACCTCCTCTTCTTGTGCTTCAAAGTCGGGTAACTTTTTACCAATAAGCTTCTCTATTTGAATATACCACTCAAGCTCATACTGATTCACCAAAGAAATAGCAACCCCAGATCTCCCAGCACGTGCTGTTCTTCCCACTCGATGTATATAATCCTAAAATATATCATTTATCATTTATCATTTATATAAGTAAAGTATGTTGCAATTCCTTTAAAAAAAAAAAAAACCATATATATATACTTACTTTTGAGTTTGTGGGGATATCGTAATTTATAACCATATCAACAGAAGGAATATCAAGTCCTCTACTCGCCACGTCAGTGCATATAAGAATTGGACAGGTCCCAGCCTTGAACTTACTCAAGTTCTCTAGCCTTTTTGTCTGATTTAATAAACATAACAAAATTTATATAACAAAAAAGAGCAAGAAGAAAAAGTTTTAAAAATGATGCCTACCTACCTGAGTCATTTGACCAGAAATTGGGGTTGCATTTAAACCAAGGTTACAAAGCATTAAAGCCAAAAGACGCGTTGCTTCACATGTACGTGTGAACACCATTGATGTGCTCTCACATTTTTCAAGTAAAATATATAAAAGATAACAGTCCTTGTGCTTAGCTGCCACAAAACGCAACTGCTGCTTCAACGTGTCAACAGTAGAATATTTACACGCCACTTCCATCTGAAAAATAAAAAAAATAAAAAAAAAAGATATAGAAATTTGTATATTGATTATGGCTTCTTACCTTTACAGGGTTTCTTAGACAAGCTCTTTGCAGCTTTTGCACCTGAAATGAACTACTTTAATTTTTACCCAAAATTTTGTATATTAATTCCATCTTTAACCAATAATAGAAATGTACTTATGGGTAAAAAATAGAGTATATTTTGCTAGCAATTTTGGTAAAAAGATAAAGTAGATTTTGTGATCTTATTCTGTAGAATTGATTTTGATTATAGAATAATTTGTACCTTCTTAGTCATTGTAGCAGAGAACAAGTATGTTCTCCTTTCACGAGGAATGGAGTTTAAGATTTCATCAAGTGATTTTTCAAAATCCTCATTTAGCAATCTGTCTGCTTCATCCAAAACCTGTAATACATATGTGAATATGAAATATATAAAAAATAAATTCACAGGAAGAAATAAGGGATTATTACCAAGTACTTTATCGTGCGAAGAGAAAAGCCTTTAGTGTTAGATAAATGGTCCACGAGACGTCCAGGTGTCGCAACCTGAATGCATAAAAGGTAAAACAAGTGACCATGTTTTTTGCACATAATAAAAAATGAAAAATCATAAAGAAGAAAGCTTACAACAATGTGTGGTCGTTTTCCAAGGGCGATGCTTTGTTGTACATGGTCTACCCCTCCAACAAGCTGCAAGTCATTACCAAAAGTTGATATTCATAAAGCTTAAATCATAGTAATATTTATTGGTTTGATCTAGAAACAACTCACCACTGCAGTCTTTAAACTAATGCTTGACCCCAAGGCCTCAAATTGCTCAGCAATTTGAATTGCAAGTTCCCTAAAGACCATTGAAGAAAAATAAGTATAAAAATCATAAGGAGTTTCCCAAAACCAGACAAACCTTGTGGGAGAAAGCACGCAGGCAAAGAAGGCGTGTTGATCAGCCAACAGGGCTTGAAGAATCGGTAGAGCAAAAGCTCCAGTTTTACCAGAACCAGTTTGTGCTAGCCCAATTAAGTCCTTCCCTAAACATTAAATACACTAACAATCACTTGGATTTGAAACAATAGACCTTCAAGTGCATGAGGAATGGCTTCAGCCTGAATCTTAGAAGGATTTTTCCAGCCTAAACTATCACAAGCCTCGATTAATTGTTCAACTAACCCTAATTCTTTGAATGATTTCACTTCGTGTTTGTCGTCTTCCATGTTTGAATCTGCAACAAGTCGGAAAAAGTAAGGTGCGGAATCCTTATAACAATTACTATTTTTCATTCAACCAAAAGCAAACAAATCAAATATGTTTACTAACAATTGGCAACAATGAAGACGATGATGAAGGAAGGGCAAAGCAAAGCAGCAGATATAGAAGGTTAAATTATTTTTTAGGAATTCTAGGGTTTTTACGTGTGTGGGAGTAGAACAAATAAAATTATGGTGTTCATTATGGGTATAAAACTGGATTGGTCGATCGTAAAATTTGGATTCAAGTATTAAGGGTTCAATATTATGATTTTTAGATTTAGTTTCAACGAAACTAAATTATTATTTCGGATTATATAAAATAAGAACCGCATATTCTAAAAAACCGAATAATAGTTTATTATTTGTTTATTTTTAATATATCTATAACTATTTATTAATGAGTAGAATGGTCTCTATGGTTTGGGGTAATTTGCACGTTTGGTCTCTAATTGTTTTTTTTTAAATCGAAACGTCTTTACTATACGTTTCTATTGATGGTTTTGAGCATAACAAACAATCTTATGTGTGCATGCAAGCCTAAATAATTTTGATCTATGTTTTCTCTAATCGAACATACAACTTTGAACAACAAATCAAGAACCCTAATAATACTAGTATATTTTCGAAATCATACAAATTAGGATTAGGAATATTTACCTTGATTGTTATCGTTGTAAATAACAATGAACATCTTCTTGAAAACTCTTGGAAGCAAGCGCCACAAGTGTCACGCCTCTAATGGTGCACACTCAAACCCTAGCAACCAAAGAACTTGAAGAAAGAGAGGAGAAGAGATGAGAAATTTCGGAATTCCTCTAGGAAAGAAGGCTTGGACGAAATTCAACAACATAGGGGTTTATATAGATGATTAGGAATGTATTGGATAAGGCAGGTATCTCCAAGATAACTCTAATCCCTTAACTTCCTCCCTAAAGCATCCAATGCACCCTTAAGGCCCAAGGAAACCCTAGAAGGGATTCTAGAATTCGTCCCCCACCTAGGGAGGTTCTAGAATTCTTTAATGCTCAACTATTGAACATTGTCAACTTTAGTCCTCCTACTTTTAATTAATCCAATTAATTCCAATTAATTTTTTATTAATCTTTAATTAAATATTACAATTTCGAATTAATATATTATTCTCATAATATATAACAAATAATTTATTTTGATTTCTAATTAATTTATTAACCAAGTAATAAATTAATAAACCAATCTCTCTCTCTCTCTCTCTCTCTCTCTCTCAAATTTATCCTATTCAATTGCTAGGTTTGAGGGCAACCCAAAAGGATTATGTTACTATCAATTTAAGTATATACCAATTATAGTTATGGGCTTAGACACCTAATCCAACATCTATTGCACGATTGGTCCCTGTTTAACCTAAAAGACTATTATACCCTTATATTTGTTTTATATATTTTTCTAATTTATTTTTGTTATTATAATTTTATAAAAGAAATAGAGCCCACCAACATTCCCCTTAAGTCCTCAAACCCTAATACTCTTTATATGCACACAGTCAAAATTTTGCTACCTGTGATCCCATCTCGTCATCCCTATCTTCATCGTCATCATCTCTGGCCACCATCATCTCCGACAACTTCCAATAATGGTGCTTGCTTCTATAATTTTCACAAGATGAAGCTAAACGAATATCAAACCAAATCAAAACCCAAACAAACCCAAATCAAAAAAAATTATTACCTTGTAATCAAAACTCAACAAAATCAAAATCAAAATGTTGAAAATCAAAACCTAATGAAAATGCTGATTCCAAAATCAAAATCAAATCTAAAAATCAAAACCTAATGAAAATCCTAATTTCAAAAGAAGAATCAAAACATGGTGAAATCTCAATTCCAAAGCAACCATCAATTCCAAAGCAACCAACGATTTCAATATCTCAATTCCAAAATCAAGATCAACATGAGGAGGTGGTCTCGATTCCAAAGCAGCCAACGATTTCAATGTCTGAATGCAGTAATGGTGGTGTGGCGACTTCAATTGATGTCATTGATGGTGATGGTAACTCTTATTCATGATGTTTTGCTCGACAGTGGTGTTGTGGTGATGGTGATGACCGACGAGAGGAGGTGGTCTCGAGGAAGTGACAACAGAGTGGTGGGTTTGTATTCCGATTTGCTCTCCCTCTAATCATCTTCTGCTTGTCCTTCACCTCCGATGAACCACCTCCACTCCACCAGCCCTTCGTCTTTCCCTTCGTCTTCTCCTAAACAGAAGAAGCGGGAGTGTTTGTGGCTTGTGGGTTGTCGATGACGAGAGGTAGCCTCGAGGAAGCGAGAACAGGTTACTCACAAACCCACAATCGGCTCAAATAACACAAGTTTTGCAAAATCCTTCGGTGTTCTTTGCTCGATTTGCTCGGTCCATGGTACGAATGGGGGCTATTGAAGTCCTTACGGATGATCAAGGAGAAGTCGGAACGAATTGTCGAGTTGTTAACAAACAATGATGACAAGTAAAGGAAATTTGGTCTATATTGTGTTGTTTTTTGTTACTTTTGTGTATTTTTTTTTCTTGTAACATGTAGAAATGTATCTTTTTTTTGTAATATGT